TGTTTTGTAGCTCATCTGAAACCTTTCCACCATGGGTGACCCTGCTGGTTATTTAAAACACCGGTGGCATAGCCCTCAGAATCACAGCAACTCAAATCACCACAGCACGACAGACAGACATCATTGAATGATATAGAAAGCATCAAAAGAAGATGGAAGGAATACAAAGAGTCACTATACTAAAAAGAAATGGTTGCCACTTGGCCATTTTAAGAAGTAGCATATGATCAAGAGCCAATGATCTTGAAGGAAGAAGTCCAAGGTGTATAGAAGGCATTGGCAAAGAACAAGGTTCTGGTAATTGATGGATTACAAACTGAAATATTTCAACAAACTGATGCAGCATTGGAGGCACTCATTCATCTGTACCAAGAAAAATGGTAGACAACTACCTGGCCAACTGATTGGAAGAGATCCATGTTAGTGCACATTCCGAAGAGAGGTGACCTAACAGAATGCGGAAATCATAGGGACCATATCGTTAATATTGCATGCAATTAAAATTTTGCTAAAGATATTTTAAAATAAGCAGCAACCATATTGACAAAGAACTTCCAATGGTTCAAACCAGATTCAGAAGAGGACATGGACCAAGGAAGGGATATCATTACTGACGTCAGATGGATTTTTGCTGAAAGCAGAGAATACCACAAAGATGTTTGTTTACCTGTGATTTATTGACTATGCAAAGACTTTCGATTGAGTGGATCATGACAAACTATGGACAACAATGCAGAGAATGCATATTCTGGAACACTTAATTAATCTCATGAGGAAGCTACCCAGACCAAGAGGCAGCTGTTCAAATAGAACAAGGGAACACCGAATGGTTTAAAATTAGGAAAGGTGTGCACCAGGTTTGTATTCTTTCATTGTATTTATTCAATCTATATGTGAGCAAGTAATCTGAGAAACCAGATTATATGAAGAAAAATGTGATATTAGGATTGGAGGAAGATTTACTTTTTAACAACCTGCAATATACAGATGATACAACCTTGCTTTCTGAAAGTGAAGAGCATTTAAAATACTGATGAAGATCAAAGACCATTGGGCTGCACCTCAATATAAAGAAAACAAAAATCCTCACCACTGGACAAATAAACAACATCCATATAAATGGAGAAAACGTTGAAATTGTCAAAGATTTCATTTTGCTCAGATCAACCATCAACAGTCATGGAAGCAGCAGTCAAGAAATCAAATGATATATTGCATTAGGCAAATTTGCTGCACAAGACCTCTTTAAAGTGTTGAAGAATAAACATGTCAGTTTGAGGACTAAGGTGTGCCTAATCCAACCAATGGTATTTTCAATAACCTTAAATGCATGTGACTTTGGACAGTGAATAAGGAAGACGGTAAAAGAACACATGCATTTGAGTTATGGTGTTGAAGGAGAATATTAAAAGTACCATGGACTGCCAAAAGAACAAACTAATGCAAGTTGAAAGAAGTACAGCCCGAATGCTCCTTGGAAGCCATGATGGCCAAGCTTTGTCTCAGATACTTCAGACATATTATCAGAACGGACCAGTCCCTGGAGAAGGATATCTTGTTTGGTAAAGTGGAAGGACAGAGAAAAAGAGGAAGACCCCCAATGAGATGAACTGGCAGAGTGGCAGCAGCAATGGGCTCAAACGGAGCAATGATTATGAGGTTGGAGAAGGACCGGGCAGTGTTTTGTTCTGACTCGACAGCACCTAACAACAACAACAACAACAATATATATTCTGACATCATTATCTACTTTCTGATTCCACCTATACCCTTCTCACCTGCCCTTCCCTGCCCTCCTTCCAGTCTTATTCCTCCAATCTGAGGCCAGCGAGCAGCTAGCTCAGAGTTAACAGAAAGGTTTTTTTTTTTTTTTTTTCCAGCCAGAGAACCAAGTTAATCAATAATAAGATGGGCTAGATACCCTCCTTAAGTAGGTATACCTTTATAACCTGTAAGCCACATTTTCCAAACAGTTTCTTTTTATCCTGAAATACTTCATTTGGAAGCATTTCACGAAATTTCATGGAATTGGTATTTTCTTTCATCTCATTCTGTCTTTTCGGCTGAAGGTCAGTCCATTGTCCTAAAAAATGAGTAACATAAAAGTGTGCCTTAATTTTCTGCTAGAAATGGAAGATTCGTAAATAAATGTGGTGAAACAAACTTTAAGAAATGTGGAGGAAGAGATTATCCAGTTTAAAATGCATGTCTCACGTATCTTAGGACATGCAAGGAGAATATTATAAGATAAAATAGGGGGATAATAAATTAGTTCTTAGATGTTTGGAATTATGATGTCAATAACTCTCCCTCTCCCCCATCAATGATCGATGTTATAAAGATGATACAGAATTGTGTTACTCATTCACAATGCTTGTATTTCTACCCAGGATGCTTATCAATAAAAAGAGACAAACAAAAGAAAATAGTAAGGAATGATGGAAAATAGTATGACATGTATTTGACACTGAAAGGTTTTTAACAAGTATCTCAGTTGATCATTACAATGCTACCACTGACATAACTAACACAATTTTACAAATAAGAAAAGTAAAACTCAGAGATGTTAAATGACTTGCCCAATATCATATAACTAGTTGTTGCTATTATCATTCTTAAGTGCAATTAAGTCAGTTCCAACCCATAGTGACCCGACCCTGTATAGGGTTTCCGAGGAGCGATTGGTGACCTTGAACCACAGACCTTGCCGTTCAAATGAATTTGCAGTCCAGCGCATTAGCCCACAGTACCACACCAGGACTCCCTTATTATCTGAATGATGGGGCTCAATTTTATCACAGAAAGTGAGTGATAAATCCAGAGAAATTTGCCAGAGGGCAAAGTTGTAAATCTGAGAAAGGAGAGGAGCTCCAAAGTCAGGGAACTTCAAAGGCAGAGACTATGCATTAGGTTTGGAGAGCAATAACTCACTTTTATAAAGTGTAATATTGGAATAGTTCACTTAAGTTCCACAAACATGTACTGAGCAACTCTTACATGGCTGGCACTGGACTGAACACTGAGAACCCAAACATTCACAACCTCTTGCCATCAGATGTGCTCACCAGGCAGGATTAAAAGAGCAACGTTGAAGACAGCTGATGTCTAATTTCTAGTGTAAAAGTATTCTTGTTGTGATGGATTTTTGATGTTCCCTATAGCAATCATTCATTTCAAAATGATCCATTTTGTTAATGAAGATCTTAATCAGGTTAAGAAAAGGTGAGCCCGTTCCTCTAAAATACTGCTGTGGAATACAGCTTGCTTGTTGTTGTTGTTGTTGTTAAATGCCGTCAAGTCGGTTCCGACCCATAGCTACCCTGTACAGGGTTTCCAAGGGTGTAAATCCTTACGGGAGTAGAAAGCCTCATCTTTTTCCCACAGAGCAGCTGGTAGTTTCGAACTGCTGACCTTAAGGTTCACAACCCAATTCATAACCACTACGCTAGCAGAGCTCCTTTAGTCATCCACAATCAAAAGTGCCATCTTGTGTTGCAACAGGGGATTTACATGATTCTAGATTGTCATGAGCTGGGAGAATGGGTCAACTTTTTGAATGCAGAGTCCTAGGGTGGTGCTGTAGGATAAAGCACTGGACCGCAAGGCCAGTATGAAGTACAAGGTCAGTGGTTCAAACCCATCAGCTGCTCCACGGAAACTTTATACAGGATTGCTATGAGCTAGAACCGACTCAACGGCACTTAACAACAACAACAAAGTTAAAGTACGGAGTCCTGGTGTGGTGCTGTAGGAAAAACACTGGACTGCTAACTACAAGGTTGCCAGTTCAAACCCACCAGTTGCTTCCTGGAATCTATTCAATGACACTTAATAGCAATAACTTAAAATACAGTAATCAACGTTTCTTTGTTTCCTGTTAGCCTGAGGAGTATCCATGTCTGTTTAAATGTGGTGCTGTAGGGTAAGCACAGGACTGCTAACCGCAAGGTTGGCAGTTCAAACCTAATAGCTTTTCCTTGGAAACCCTATACAAGGTTGATATAATTTGCTATGATTCAGAACCAACTGGACGGCACACAACAACATTTTAAAAACTAAATGAGAAAGTATCAATGCTATCCACTCTGTGCACAGGGTAGATAGGAACAGGCAACTTAGACATTAGCTACCTAAAATGAGGGGGCAATATAGGCATGAAGTGACTAGCTTACAAGGTTTCAAGAGGGAGTTTAGCATAAGAGTGTGGGGGGAAAGAAAGAGTCCCCACTGAATAGCTGTCATCTTGTCTAGACGGGTCTGGTGAAAAGAGATGGGGTAAGATTTGTAAGATTCAATAGTGAATAACTGTTATCATGACTAATCGTGACTATCACAATTATAAAGGTAGAAGTTTTGTAACAAAAAAAGGGGAGAGGTTTATCTTACAGTCCAGAAACAGAGGACCCTAGGACCATCAAGAGAGGAACAGGAACACACAAGCAGAATGCAGGACCTTATCCAGAGAAGCAGCAGCGCCAGAGATGGAGGCAGAGATGGAGGCATGGAAAGGGGGAGTGCCTGAGGACTCTAGATTCATGGACTAAGAAGAGAAGGACTAAGAGCTGGTGGCCAGGAGCAGACTTGCAGAATGTGCCCTTTGGAGATGTAAATTATTATATACGCCTGAGTGGGTTTTTTGTTTGTGTGTTTTTTAAAAAGCTAAAGTGGATAGAGAAAAATACTGTTAACTGATGGTACATGGAGGGGATTATAATCAATGTAATGAAACAAGGTATATGATTTGTTGAATGTAAAACTGATGATATGCCCTGTAAACTTTCACTCAATCCACAATAAAAACCTTAAAAACAAAAACTAAATGAGAATCATAATTTTGGATCTCATTCTTGTGTATTGCTATTTTGTCCATGATTTTGGATCCTGGGCTTTCCATGGAGTGTGAACGCCACATTTATTGCAGACTTTTATACTTCACTTTGGTCCTGGTTTAGCGCTGTGGGCTAATGTGATAAGACTGCAAAGTCGTTTGAACCACAAGGTCGGTGGTTCAAGCTCACCAGCTGCTCCTTGGAAAACTATACAGGGCTGCTACGGGTTGTAAACGACTCAACAGCATTTAACAACAACAACACATACTTCACTTTGGAGTCCTGGTGTGGCACTGTAGGATAAGCAGTTCAAACCCACCAGCCACTCCTTGCGTTGGGAAACCTATACAGAGTCTCTGTGAGTCTGAACCAACAACAATCCCTTACATTGACCATTTCTGCCTGAGTGATTTTTACAAGCACACGGTGAAAATAAGTGTCCTTTAAAATACTGCATCTGAATTTTTGTACCGCCTATAAAATCTATTCTCCACATTACAACCTTTCTAAAACACAAGTCTGATCTTACCTTGTTTTTGCTTAAGATCCTTCAAGACTCCCCATATTTTTCCAAGTAAATTTCTGAAATCCTTCATGTGATTTATAAGGTTTATTATATATCCTAGGCCTCAACTACAGTCTTATTTCTCAAAACTTTCATTACCTGGCTAATTTCTACTTATTCTTAATTTATGATATTTATGATACCTCCTGAGAAGCCAAGTATGGGCTAGGTTTATTATATTTATAAGGTTTATTATATATTCTAGACCTCAACTACAATCTTATTTCTTGAAACTTTCATTGCCTGGCTAACTTCTACTTATTCTTAATTTATGACATTTATGACACCTCGAGATGCTAAGTGTAGGCTAGGCACCTCTCTTATGTGTTCACAAATGATTTTGACCCTCCTCAACCATAAAAAGATGGCCTGTTAATCAGTCTTTTTAATTAGACTTTGACCATGGAACATGTCTTATCTTGTTTATCACTGTACAGTGCTTATCACTAGCACATTGCTTGGCAGACAGCATGGGTACAACACACAGTTGTCGAATAAATCAATGCAATGAACCTCTCTATACTTCTATCTCCCAGGATGGCAATAGAAAAGGTATGATTTCTTAGTTGGAATCCTGGTGTGGCACTGTAGGATAAGCACTGGACTGCTAATCCCAAGGTCGGATGTTTAAACTCACCAACTGCTGCTTGGAAACCCTATACGGGGTCTCTATGAGTCAGAATCAATGCAGTGGCTCTTAACAACAACAACAACAACAATAATTTCTTAATTAGCAGTAGGGCTATGTTGAAAGGATATCTCTAGTCTCAGACTCCCACAGTCATCGTAATGGGTTTGTCAGGGAACGAGTACCCAATAAGTAAGGTAAACACCAGGAATCTTGTGCTTACCTTGTTTACTGGATATTCTGTCCCTGTCAGGGATTGTAAATTTGAAAAGAGGCTTTGATGCTGTAGGAAGGTGTTGTGGGGTTAGGTGACAAACAGATGCCAGTCATACCAAGGAGAATTTTTGATGTAGTGAAAAAAATGTAAAACTGTTCACTACAGAGTAGTAAGTAAGCACAAATAAACACTTGCTTATTGGGTAATCTGATACTGGGTTTAACTCCACTGAGTGGGTTATATTTGAGTATGCTGCACTGTACCAATGAATTATTTACTTTGGTGATAGTGGAGGTGGTGGTTATGTGCCATCACATCGGTTCCAACTCACAATGACCTTGTATTTTCCAAGGCTGTAAATCTTTACAGGAGCAGAAAGCCTCATCTTTCTCCTGTGGAATAGCTGGTAGATTCAAACTGCTTACCTTGTGGTTAGCAACCCAACTCATAACCCACTACACTACCAGGGCTCCTTATTTACTTTGGTAGGAAAGTTCAAAGTAAGTAACTTTAGCGTTTCTAATGCTGTCATCAACAAATAAATGCAACAAAACTCAAGAGAACATCAGTCAGGTAGATGGATTTGAATGTTCTTCCTATGCAATTAGGGACATACTCACGCTCATCCCTTAAAGGCCTGGGCTTGAATTCTTTAAGGCTTTCAATGTAATTGTTTCTTCAACACTCCATGCCATCATAAGTAAATCCAATCTAGTGGTGGTGACTTTTGTTTTTTACTAATAAACAACCCTGATAGTAGATAAAGAGCCAAAATGGTTCAGAGTTGTTTATGGCCTAACAGAAAACCACAGTAGTTTTTCCTCTCTCATCTCCCATTCTATCTCTTACCCACACACATATATGCACACCCATACTCAAAAGAAGGAACACTTAGGAGAGCTGAGTTTTCAAACTTTAAAAAATACTCACCTAACAAACTCCAAAGATCTTGTTCCTTTTTATTGGCCATTTCCTCCTGAACTTCCCACAGCATACCTTCAATGTTCATGACCACCTCAATGAGGTCGTCAGCATGAGTTCCTTCAATCTCTAATGTTGCCTTTCCTGGAACAATTATCTCGGAGATGGAGACTCTTGAGCTTTTCTGAAGCTGAGACAACCTGTCATGTTCCTTTTTTCCAAGGTAAAGGATGTGACTATTCTCAATGATGTGGTACTTCTGGAGGGTCAGCATCCTGTGGATCCACTCTTGGGCCTCACACATCTCTTCTTTGTTGGATCCCATTAGACTGATGAAAGGAGAGTTAGCTTTGAGCCCCTTTTTTGTTTTCTCTTCTCTAGTTCCCTGGAAAACTGGAACAATTATAAGCAACAACAGAAGACAGCTTTTAAAACAGTGTCAAAGAAAACACCTTAACCACTGTTTACCCTGAGTCTATTGTCACCACTGTCAGCAATTGTTGGATGCCTTAGAGTCTGTTCAGACTAATAATGATCCTGTATAGGGTTTCCAAGGGTGCTGGTGGGTTTGAATTGTCGATCTTGTGGTTAGCAGTCCAGTGCTTATCCTACAAGTGCCACACTCTAGCTCAGTAAAACCCCAATTAAATGCCTATTTCTTAGATGAGGAAATCTAAATGTGTAAACATGTAATTTACAGTTTCCCTGGGAACACTGTGTTTAGCTTGCGAGGCTTTGGCTTTATCCTTTCTTGCCTATGCTGTGTTGGCATCTGTCAGTTCGCAGAAGAGTTTACCTGGGACCTCACCCTGGATGAGGTTCCTATTATTTCCTGATGAATAGAATTTTCCTTAAATTCTTACTGCTACTCTCGGTTAAACTGAAATATCTCTGGAAGTCAAAGAGTTTAAAGAATGAAGATTCTTAAAAAACAACAAAAGAAACAACTTTTTTTTTTTTTTTTTCCTGGTGAAAGAAACAATATGTTTATTGTTTAAAAATTGGAAAACTATCAAAGTATAATGAAAAGAATAACCCATAATTCCAATTCCACTAACTGGGATTCTTTCTTATATTTTATCTGTGGGGGAGAGGACATTTTTGGATCTGCAGACATTTTCCCACTTCTACAACGAGCATTTGAGGCTTGGCTGTTGCCACTGCTGCTGCTATTGCTGGATATAATAGATCCCAGCAAAGATGGAAATGGGACCTGATTCCAATCTATGGACATGTATCCCCTCCACTAAAAGAAGAATTTCTGAGGTACTAAGGTGGTTACTTGACTCCTGGTGTGGCGCTGTAGGATCAGCACTGGACAGCAAGCCATAAGGTTGACAGCTCAAACCCACAGGTTGCTCGTTGGAAACGCTATACAGGGTCACTACGAGTCGGAAACGACTCCACGGCACTTAACAACAACAAGGTGGCTACTTAAGATTTGACAATGGCAAGACTTTGTCTCTCGTATTTCGGACATATCATCAGGAAGGACCATCCCTGGAAAAGGACATTATGCGAGCAGTCGCCGCCGCCGCCGCCGCTGGACTGAGGACCCGGAGACGCGAGCGGACGAGGTGTATTCCATAGAAAAGTCTCCAAACATCCCTGCCCTATTGACTCTGAGTTGTCAGGGGACTCAGGCTTATGAGGAGGTTCTGCCACACAAAACAGTGTCTAGTGAAGATGACAAGAAAGAGAGGAAAGGATCGTAAAAAGAAACTAAAATACTATAGAAAATCATGAGATCTATTCGATCTTTTGCCAATGATGACCGCCATGTTATGGTGAAACATTCAACAATTTACCCATCACCAGAGGAACTTGAAGCTGTTCAGAATATGGTGTCTACTGTTGAGTGTGCTCTTAAACATGTCTCAGATTGGCTGGATGAAACAACAGAGGGTGAGACAGAAGTGAAGAAAGATGAGGCTGTAGAAAACTATTCCAAGGATCAAGGTGGGCGTACATTGTGTGGTGTAATGAGGATTGGTCTGGTTGCAAAAGGCTTGCTGATTAAAGATGATATGGACTTGGAGCTGGTTTTAATGTGCAAAGATAAACCCACAGAATCCCTGTTAAATACAGTCAAAGATAATCTTCCTATTCAGATTCAGAAACTCACAGAAGAGAAATATCAAGTGGAACAATGTGTAAATGAGGCATCTATTATAATTCAGAATACAAAGGAACCCACCCTAACTTTGAAGGTGATACTTACTTCCCCTCTAATTAGGGACGAATTGGAGAAAAAGGATGGAGAAAATGTTGCAATGAAAGATCCTCCGGACTTATTGGACAGGCAGAAATGCCTGAATGCCTTGGCGTCTCTTCGACATGCCAAATGGTTTCAGGTAAGGGCAAACGGATTAAAGTCATGTGTAATTGTCCTCCGCATTCTTCGAGATTTGTGCAACAGAGTCCCCACATGGGCACCATTAAAAGGATGGCCACTAGAGCTTATAGGTGAAAAGTCTATAGGTACTTGTAATAGACCTTTGGGCGCTGGGGAGGCCTTGAGACGAGTAATGGAGTGTTTGGCATCTGGAATACTACTTCCTGGAGGTCCTGGTCTTCATGATCCTTGTGAGCGTGACCCAACAGATGCTCTGAGCTATATGACCATTCAGCAAAAAGAAGATATTACCCACAGTGCACAGCATGCACTCAGACTATCAGCCTTTGGCCAGATTTATAAAGTGCTGGAGATGGACCCTCTTCCATCCAGTAAGCCTTTCCAGAAATATTCCTGGTCAGTTACTGATAAAGAAGGTGCTGGGTCTTCAGCTCTAAAGAGGCCATTTGAGGATGGATTGGGGGATGATAAAGATCCCAACAAGAAAATGAAACGTAATTTAAGGAAAATTCTGGACAGTAAAGCAATAGACCTTATGAATGCACTAATGAGGCTAAATCAGATCAGGCCTGGCCTTCAGTACAAGCTCTTATCTCAGTCTGGTCCTGTTCATGCCCCCGTTTTCACAATGTCTGTGGATGTGGATGCCACAACATATGAAGCCTCAGGACCATCCAAGAAAACAGCAAAACTTCACGTAGCAGTGAAGGTATTGCAGGCAATGGGATACCCAACAGGCTTTGATGCAGATATTGAATGTATGAGTTCCGATGAAAAATCAGATAATGAAGGCAAAAATGAAACGATGTCTTCAAACTCAAGCAATAATACTGGAAATTCTACAACTGAAACCTCCAGTACCTTAGAGGTAAGAACTCAGGGCCCAATCCTTACAATAAGTGGCAAAAATCCTGTAATGGAGTTTAATGAAAAAAGAAGAGGTCTTAAGTATGAACTCATCTCGGAGACTGGTGGAAGCCATGACAAACGTTTTGTAATGGAGGTAGAAGTAGATGGACAGAAATTCCGAGGTGCAGGTCCAAATAAGAAAGTGGCAAAGGCAAGTGCAGCATTAGCTGCTCTCAAGAAACTATTTTCTGGACCCAATGCAGCAAATAATAAGAAAAAGAAGATTATCCCTCAGGCAAAGGGTGTTGTGAATACAGCTGTGTCCGCAGCAGTCCAGGCTGTTCGGGGCAGAGGAAGAGGAACTCTAACAAGGGGAGCTTTTGTTGGGGCCACAGCTGCTCCTGGCTACATAGCTCCAGGCTATGGAACACCATATGGTTACAGCACAGCTGCCCCTGCCTATGGTTTACCCAAGAGAATGGTTCTGTTGCCCGTTATGAAATTCCCAACATATCCTGTTCCCCACTACTCATTCTTTTA